TAGATTGGTGCAAGCATTGTGGAAATCAGTATGGAAATACCTCAAAGAACTAGGACTTGAAGTTCCATTTGACCCAGCTATTCCCCTGGTGGCTATCTTCCCCAAAGAATTAAAAGAATCATACCACAGTGATATATATGTGCACCCATGTTCATAGGAGCACAGTTTGTAATAGCTAAAACTTGGAAACAGGGCGAGGGATTTAGCTCAGTGGTTTCACTGCCTGCTGTGCAAGCACAAGGACCCGAGTTCTATCCCCGGTACCAAAAAAAAAAAAACATAAAACTTGGAAACAGCCCAAATCCCCATCAACTGGAGGCTGGATAAAGAAAATGTGGTTTTTTACTCAGCCATAAAAAATGAAAAATTAGTGGCATTTTTAGCTAAATGGATGCACATTGGGGCAATACTCTTAAGTGAAATAAATAGGACACACGTGTAAATATCAAATAGTTTCTCTAGTGTGAGAAACTGAAAGTGTAAGTAAGGACTAAAAAGTATAATAGATAATGTGAAATAGGAAGAAAAGGGTCAAAGGGGAAGGGGAAGTGGGAGGGGTAGGGGAAAGGAAAGAAGGGAATGGAATTAATATGAGAAAATGAAAGAATGGAAACCAAGTCTTTGTAAACAGGGAGGGATGGAGGGGTTGAAGGTAGGGCAGGGGAATGGGGAAAAAGAAGAACCCAGAGAGATTATGTAAAGGGACAAATTTCCAGTGATGAATGTCATTATATTGTATACCTAAAATGTACCAATAAAATTAATTTTCAAAGAGAATAATTTCAAAGCTCTTAAAAATAAATGTTACCTGCCATGTCTCTTCACTGCTAAGCTGATTGTTACACACAACTATCCAAATGGAGAAAAACTGCAAATGAAAAAGGATTGATGATTTAGAACTTTGAAAAGACAAAAACTTAGAAAGAAAGATGTCTATTAGTCTAGACTGTTAGTTAAAAATAGATTTCTTATTGTCCCAAAATTGTAAGGTGAAATCACTTTGGAAGCATAATCCATGAACCTCATTTTCATATTTTATCCCTTCATGTATTCAACCAGCAACATGTAGGCACCTAGAACAATAAGTAAGGCATCCACCACTTAAGGTTCTTGATTTACCAACAGCTCTAATAATCCCTGGCAATGCTGGGCAGCACCAAAGAGCTACAACTTCCAGTCAGACATGCAATGATGAAGAGAAACAACCAATACTGGAGCATGTTCTACCTTGCTGAGCTAGGATGTGTGGTAGATTAGGTGTATTTAATGAATTTTTGACTTAGGATATCTTTAGGCTACCATGGGCTTATCATCTTAAAATGAGGAGCATCTGTATTTTCTTGCAAATGTGAAGGGTTACTAAAAGTTGTCCAGGTTTCTACTTTACTGAAGGCAAGCTGAAACTATTCCAGGAAGACATCTAGTCAGGCTGTTCTTCAAAGATTTCAGGTTCTTAAAAGCTTTCCATAACTTCCCATGGAATAAGCACCCACTGGAAAGCTCTAAGTGTTATTGTTGTAAGATCTAAAACACAGGGACATGGAGAAAATACTTAAAAGCCAGGAAGAAGTAAAAAGGCATTAGAGAGGGCCACATTCTACTTGCTATCATTCCCCAAAATTCTATCAACCTTCCACAGTGAGCCAACTCAGGTCATCTCCTGAGAAGGCCCTCTAAAATCCATATGCAGAGACAACCACAGTTTAGCAGGAGTTATGAGAATTTTCTAAAACTTGAACACATTTTGCCACACATCTTGGGGAATGTTTTCAGAAAACTGAAAACTGAGGCTTTTATAACAGATTGGTTCACATCTCAGAAAGTGGAAAAGAAAGGAAGTCATTTTGTAAACTAGTAGAAGAAGAAAAAGCAGCATATAAATTTCTCTAGGCAGAGAAATTGTTGGTCCTATGAATTTAAATTCGTAGACTAAAAATCTGTCAGCCTTTTCCAGATTCTTTCATAACATCATGCCTCCTCCAACATTTAAGCACTAATTGATTCATTTTCTGTTTTATTGGATTTTAAATCATTTTAGTCACTATTTTTAACTGTACTCTCATTTATACTCCTCCTCCCCCCATTTGCTGCAAGGCTCTACATTAAATTATACATTCTCTCACATGGCTCATTATCTTACATTTTTTCTGTCATTCTGCAGCTGCTCCCCTATGCTCCTGCCTCAGCTTTGTTTAGTGCCAAAGAGCTGTTTTTTCTAACACTTCAAAAACACATGGCATTTTTTATAGGCTCAAGTATCTTCACTTCTGTCAAATAAAAAATTGACTCCTAAGGAAAACAAATTTTAAGTATGTAGGTGTTTTGAAAGAAAATAAAGTGGCTCATTAAAAAATAATTATGTTGGGAGAAGGAGCAAGACCATTGCCTGAAAATTGAACATAAATACATTTGCTTTTAAGAATATTTGGATATGCATAGATTTCCCCAATTACCTTTTAGTCTGTTTTTCACCCTTCGTGTGATTACCCTTTAGAGTATTTTAATTTATAAAATTCTGAACACCACACAAAAAAGCAGAGCACTTTTGCCCTAATGCCCACATGCCTTATAAGTCATGTGAAAAAAAAAATGTTATAATGACCTAAAAGGGAATCAGAGCTGAACATAGTAGCAGATATTGTCGATGCCTGTCCCATGTGTCCTGAAACTTTGCAAGCAATCAGACAAGTGGGTAAGAATTGGTTTGGTCCAACAATGGTACTCAACTTCAAGTGGCTGTTTACTATCTTTCTTTCCATGTATATTCAATACTCATAGTGACTTAACCATTTCTCAAAGCCTAGTGTAGGATGAGACAGAATGGTGTTCCACTCAGATCTCCCCAAATCTCTTTCTAAACTGCATCATTCTTTCTTGGGTTTACTTTCACTTCCAACAGCCAGCACCTATTGTTTTTAGGAGAGCCGTGTTCAGGCTATTAGAGCCCATTTGTATGTATGCCTTAAAGAAGCCAATATTTAGGAATTGAGAGACAGAGTGGCACAGACAAACTTGCCTTTAGCTAGTGCAGAAATGAGAAATCCAGCTCCCAGACCTCAAGTCATAAAAATTCTAAGGTACAACTAAGATTCCAGAGTTCCCTTGTAGAGAGGGCTGATGGATGTGCTGTAGGACTTTACCTTAGCAAGATCTTTGTTGACCTCCAGCTCTTTTTTGGCTGCTTTCTTTTCTATCCATTCACTCATCTTCCTTGTGACACTACCTTTGAAATCACTGCCCTAGGAAGCTTTTGTCTGGAGGTCTGCAACCAGGAAATCCAACCTGGGACAGCTAGAAAGGTCCTTGGCATACAGAACTACAAAGACAAAGATTTAAATCATTGATCATAGAATTATAAGATGTTCAAACAGAGAGGGTCTCCTACTTGAGTATCAGAGAGGTGAATTAACTTACTAGCTAGGATTCAGCAGGGTGAATCCAAAATTTGTGACTTTCTGACCCAGAGACCACTGCTATTTTTAACCATTAGTGAGTGCTTTTTACTTGGATTCACATAATGACCATTGGTCTAAATATACAGTTATGGTTGAATTAGTTAATTCACTGATGAAATTTTTATTTTCAATATGTCTTACAGAAAGATACAGATGTAAATGTAATTCCGTATTCAATGAATCCAGTGGCTTTTATTCATTCTCTCTCTCCCCTTTCCTCCCTCCCTCCTTTTCTCTTTCCACACACATATACCACAAGAACAATACCATTAAAGGAAGAATTTTGAAATTAATTCAGAACATATACACCCACAGAGAAGCTTGTTTGCTTACTGCATCAGCATAAATGTCAATCAAAAAAGAGCAAGCAGTCTCTTCCTTCAAACTGCCCTCTTTCCCAAGAAATCCCAAGGGATACAGGCCAAAACTTTGCTAGGTGCTCTCATAGCCAAAAGGGGAAACGAGTACATACATATGAATGAGTCTGACTAGAATTATTTATAAATAATGAAGGAACATGTAACACTTTCTCCCCTTGTCACATCTTCCCAGAGCATAACCCCAAAAAGCATCGGCTTTTTTAGTGTGATGTGAAGGGCACTGAAAAGTCAGCCTGGGCCAAATTAGTGCTCCTCCCCAAAAGATCTGCCAACAGTCTGAAATTCCCAGTCATGTAGTCATTCCTTTGGGCAAAGCACAGTCTTCAGAGAGCCTCTATTAAATTTATAAACAAATTTCCTTGGAATAAATTACAAATTAACTCATTAGCAGCTCTTAACTCATTAACAAGAATTTATTCCTCAGGGCAGGGCTGGACTCTGAAGAATATAGGCAAATTTTGAAGGGTGTGAAATTAGAAAAGTCCATTGTCTTTGTCCATTTGAGTTGCTATAACAGAATGAGAGAGACTAGGTGGCTTATAAAAAACAGAAATTTTATTTTTTACACCTCTGAGCGATGGTGCCATCATCATCATGACCAGGACCAAGGTGACATCAGATTGTGTCTGATGAAAGCCTGCCCCCAGATCATAGCCAAGTCTTCTCCCTATATCCACACATAGTGGAAGGGGTAAGAGAATGAATTCCAACCATGAGGGTTCCCCACTCATACCCTAATCACCTACAAAAACCCCCACCTCCAAACATCATCACATTAAGGGTTAGGATTTCAGGGTATGAATTTGAGTGGGTGGGACACAAATATTCAGTTGATAACTCAAATCCCACCCAGATATGCTGTAGGATTCCTGAGGCTTCAGAGCCCAAGTGAGCACCACTGTGGGGGTTATAGGTACCAAGAGGATGCTTTGAGGTTATGGGGCACCTTGGTCGAAGGTGTGGGGCAAAACTGTGAGGGTTCAAATCTGCCAGATGTATGCTGTGCGGTCTTGGGCAAAAGAATCTAACTCCTTTGAGCCTCCTCATCTCATCTGTAGAATGAAGGCAATCAAGGCATCTCCTTCACAAGATTCATTGCAGTTATATATTTAGCAACCTTAGTTCATGCCTGGCACAGAGTAAGGCTTCAAAACATGTAAGCTATTTTTATAGCTGTTGATAATATTATTTTTACTACTAAAGAACAAAATTGTTAAAGGTAATATTATGATGAAAATTTTATTCTTTTAGATAATTAAGTTTATTGGTACATTTTAGATATACATAACAATCACATTCACCCTAGGAAATTTGTACCTGTACATGATATATCTTGATTCTTATTTTTTTCCATTCCCCTCCCTTCCCTTCAACCCTTCTTCCCCTACTTATTTACAAAAGTTTTGTTTCCATTTTATCTTTCTTTTCCCATTTTTTAATTTTTCCCTTCCTTCTTTTCCTCCTTTCCCCTCCATAGTGCCCCTTTACATTTAAACATTTTCTTCCTATTTCACAATATTTATTATATATTTTGGTCCTTATTTACACTTTCAGTTTCTCATACCTGAGAAACATTTACATATGTGTGTCTGATTTATTTCACTTAAGAGTATGGTAGCAAGACTCATCCACTTACCTAAAAATGTCTCAAATTTATCCTCTTTATGGCTGAGTAGTATTTCATTGTATTAAAAAAGCCCACATCTTCTTTATCCATTCATGGGTTGATGGACATTTGGGTTGTTTCCAAGATACAAACTGTGCTGCTATAAACATGGGTGTGCATATATAGCTATGGTATGATGCTTTTAATTCTTTTGGGAAGATACCAAGAAGGAGGATAGCTAGGTCAAATGGAACTCTAGTTTTTTGAGGAATCTTCACACTGATTTCCACGATGGTTGCACCCAGTCTACGCTCCCATCAACAGTGGAGAAAGTTCCTTTCTCCCCGCTGCCCTGCCAGCATTTGTTATTGGTTGATTTCATGATAATAGTCATTCTTTCTGGAGCGAGATGGAATCTCAGCACGGTTTTAAATTGCATTTCTCAAATGTCCAGTGATGTTGAACATTTTTTCACATATTTAGTTGTCATTTGTATTTCTTCATCTGAAAAATGTGTACTCATCAAGTATGTATGCCCATTTTTGTATTAGGTCTTTCAATTGGGGGGGATTGATTTTTCCAGTTCTTTAAATATTCTAAATATTAGTCTTTTGTCTGAGGAACAGCTGGAAAAAAAAATTTTTTTTTTGGTACCAGGGATCGAACTTGGGACCTTGTGCTTGGGAGGCAGGCAACAGAAACATTGAGCTAAATCCCCAGCCTGGAAAAAAAATTTTCCCACTCTGTTGGTTGTCTCTTCACTCGGTTAGTGATTTCTTTTGCTGTGAAAAGCTTTTTAATAAGATGAGATCCCAGTTGTTGATTCTTTGAAACATTTCCTGTGTGATTGGGGGTATATTCAATAATGTCTTTGCCTATACCTATGTCTTCAGGAGTTCTACCTGTTCTCTCTCCCAGCAAATTTAGTGTTTTTGTTTTAATATTTAGACTTTTGAACCATTTCAATTTTAGTTTAGTGCATAGTGGGAGATATGGGTCTACTTTTAGTCTTTGGCATGTGGAAAACCAGTTTTTTCAGCACTATTTATCAAAGAGGCTATCTTTCTTCCAGTGAAGGTGTTTGGCCTCTTCATCCAAGATAAGGTGAGTGAGTGTGTTTGGAGTTGTTTCTGCATCTTCTAATCTGTTTCATTGATCCTCAGGTCTGTTTTTTGCCAGTATCTTGTTGTTTTTATTACAGTAGCTCTGTAGTATAATTTCAAGTCAGGTATTGTGATGCTCCCTGCCTTGCCTTGGTTGCCCAGAATTGCTTTTGCTAGTCTGGGTTGCTTTTGGTTCCAAATGAATTTTAAGAATGTCTTCTTTAGGTCTTTAATACATGCTATTGGTCTTTTGATTGGGATTGCATTAAATCTGTATAACAATTTTGGGAATATGGCCATTTTTACTATTTTGATTCTTCCTACCCATGAACAATCACTATCTTTCCAGTTTCTAATATCCTCTTTGATCTCCTTTTTCAGAGTACTGTAGTTTTAAATGTAAAGATCTTTTACTTCCTTTGTTAGATTGATTCCTAAGTATTTCATTTTTTTCACTGCTATTGTGAAAGACATGGTTTCCCTAATTTCTTTCTCAGTGAGTTTGTTGTTTTTGTACAGGAAAGCTATTGATTCTTGAGGGTTGACTTTGTATCCAGCTATAGGACTGAACTTGGTTATTAAATCTAGAAGTCTTTTGGTGGAGTTTTTGGGGTCTTCCATGGAGAATATCATGTCATCTGCAAAAGATGATAATTTAACTTCTTTCTTTCCTATCTTTTTTTTTGGGGGGGGGGGGGTACCAGGGATCAAACTCGGGTCCTTGCACTTATGCAGCAGGCGGTGAAACCCCTGAGCTAAATCTGCGGCCTCCTATCTTTATTCCCTTTATTTCTTTCTCTTGTCTAATTGCTATGGCTAATGTTTACAGAAATACATCAAATATGAGCAGTGATAGTGGACATCTTTGTCTTGATACTGATTTAGAGTGAAAGTTTTCAGTTTTTGACCAGTTAGTATGATGTTGGCTGTTGATTTGTCATAGATGGCTTTTGTCACATTGAGATAAAGCTCATTAATTCGAATTTTCTGTAGGATTATCATAAATAGGTGTTAGACTTTGTCAAATGCTTTTTCTCCAATATTAAGATGATCATGTGATTTTTTTTGCCCTTGGTTGATATGGTCTATCATATTTATTGATTTGCATGTGTTGAACCATCCCTGCATCCCTGGTATGAATCCTACTTGATCATGATGTATAATCTTCTTGATGATTTTCTGCATTCTGTTTGCCTGTATCTTACTGAAGATTTTTGCATTTATGTTCATTAGGGAGATTCGCCTGTAGTTCTCTTTTGGGTTGGATCCTTTTCTGGTTTTGGTAGTGAATTTGGGAGTATTGCTTCCCTTTCAATATCATTAAAGAGTTTGAAGAGTAATAGCATTAGATCTTCTCTAAATTTCTTGTAGAATTCAGCAGTGAATCCATCAGGACCTGGGTTTTTCTTTGTGGGTGAATTTTTAATTACATCTTCAGTTTTATTAACTGATATTGCATTATTTAAAATTTTTATATCTTCTTGATTCAGCTGTAGTAATTCATATATATCTATGAATCTGTCCATTTCTTCTGTGTTTTCCATCTTACTAAAATAAAGTTTCTCAAAGTAAGTATGAATGATCTTCTGGATTTCTGCAGGTTCTGTTGTGATTTCATCCTTTCATTCCTTATTGCATGCAGTTGAGTCTTTTTTTCATAAGGCTGGTTGAGGGCTTATCAATTTTATTTAATCTTTCAAAGAACTCTTTGATTCATTGATTCTTTCTCTTGTAGTCTTAGTCTCAATTGCATTAATTTCTGCTCTGATCTT